CTCCACTTCTCCAAAACTGGGTAAAGGATCACAGTGGCCATAAGACTATGTGCAAGGCAGAGTCTTGCTGAATCCAAGAGATTTAATTCTCTGCTGTTCCACAGTGTTTCTAAACCTGGGACTTGTATCACCAGTTAAAAAGAATTGATACCAACAGACAAAACTGAATATAGGAAGAGAATGCAATCTCATACCCAGTGAGGAAAAACATTGTCTGTTTCCTTAGACCCTCCTTCCTCCTCAACTCCAGAGAAGCTAAAACCAGAAGGACAGTAGATGTGGAGTAGATTTCCCACCTTGTGCATGCATGCCCACACACACACACACACACACACACACACACACACACACACAATGGAATATTACTCAGCCGTCAAAAACAATGGAACCCTGCCATTTGCAATGACATGGATGGAATTAGAGCGTATTATGCTAGTGAAATAAGTCAGTCAGAGAAAGACAAATACCATTGTGATTTCATTCATATGTAGAATTTAAGAAACAAAACAAGTGAACACAGGGAAAGAGAAGGAAAACTAAAATAAGACAAAAATAGAGAGGGAGGCAAACTATAAGAGACTCTTAATTATAAGAAACAAACTGAGAGTTGCTGGAGGGGCAGTGGGTAAGGGGATGGGTAAATGGGTGATGGGCATTAAAGAGGGCATGTGATGTGATGAGTGCTGGGTGTTATAAGCAACTGATGAGTCATTAAATTCTATCCCGGAAACAAATAGTACAGTATATGTTAACAATTTAAATTTAAATTTAAAAAAATAAAAGCAAAAAGAATTCCCACACCTGAAACTAATGCAACATTGTATGTCAAATATACTCCGATTAGAAAAAGGTAATAAATTTTTTAAATTTAAAAATAAAAGGGAATTAAGAATTTTGTTGCAAAAAAAATCTGTGAAAAGCAGTAGTTTTGAGTAAAAATGACTGAGAGTCAAATTCTGACTGTGCAGTGGAAAATTGAGCAAGATAAATAATCTCCTAAACTTCAATTTCCTCCTCTGTGAAGTGAGAACACCATACACCATTAATATAATGTTAACAATACAACACTGTTATGAAGATTAAGTGAGCTGATACATGGGAAGCTCTTGGCTCAGTGCCTGGTATACAGGAAGCACCCCAAGAATCTGAGCTCTTACTCTTATTATTATGATTTTTTGTATATTGTAAAATCCTGAAGTAGAGATCCATGTACTTACGTCTCTGACCGTAATTCCAATTAACTCTTTATGATAGGTTCCAAGCGTCTGAACATACTGGCTGATAATCCTGTTTTGTCAGAGTTATCCAGAAAAGGCAATTCAACAGTTTGCTTCACTTGACTATCAGGAAATTCTCGAGCTCTGGAAGTTAAATTGTTAAATTTATTTGGCAGATTACAAACCTAACTAAATTTATGTATATTTATGTTAAAATTGAGTGCTCTTTAAGATCTCTTTGTGATAGGTCATTAGCAAGAAAGAGAAAATAAGACAGAACATTTCCCTATTTCTGGTAAACCAAACAGTACCAGGAGCAAAAGTGGTTGTAGGAGACTGTGCTCCTGGCTTCCTGCAGTCCTTTGAGTGCATTCATTCCTTGGCCTTCCTTTCTAACACCTGCCACTTTAAATCCCTTGCTTTGCATGGCCATTGGACTTTTAGATTCCCTCCTTATCTTTGACCTTTTTATTTAAGGATGTGACTTTTAACTAACCTTTGGCCTGTGGGTCAGCAGTTAAGCTGTCCATTCTCCCAGACTCCTTTCATCTTTTGCCTTTTTAAGGACAAAGCCAATTGTGTATAACTTTTACATATTTTGGCCATCTCAAGCCATTCTTAGGTGGGGAAACCTCCTAAGGCAGGTGCTGTCAGGGGCACATTGAATAGAAATGAGAAACAAAGTGTTAAAAAGAGCATTAGACTTTGTGTTTCTCAGGAAAACACAGCCTGTTCAAATTTCATTTCAATGTCCTCTTTTAGGGGAGGCTAGAGGATTATTCTTAACAGAGGCAGTCTTGATACAGTTTTCTCTTTTTGAAAGTGAGTTCTCTTGCAGGGCTGTTCTGAGGAGTAAATGTTAGAAACTATCTCTCTCCTTAAGAGAACTTAGCTTACTGGAGAAGGGGGACTGAATACACACAGAAGTCTGTAACCTAGAGTAAAAGAAGTAAGGGTCACGATGTACAAAAGGGAATTCTAAGAAAAGAGAGTTCCAGTTGAATGGTAGAAATCTAGGAGGACTTCATGTAAGAGATGGTTTTAAGAGGAGTCCAGCTTTGTGAAGGAGTGGTGTTGAAGATCAGTCATGAAGGATGGTATTCAGTGGAATCTGGTGCAGGTGGAAAGGTGAGTAGAACGAGAATGGGAACATTCATGCCTGCGAGTGGAATCACAAGAGAAAAGTCAGAGATATTAAGAAGTGGAACATGTCTGGGGACCATCAAGTGAGGTAGTTTCATTAGCATGTACACAAGACGCTGAAGGTTTGATAGCTAGAGAGTGATCTGATCCCAGCTGTGGTTTGAGGATAGTGAGGGAGCTGTGTGTAAGGTGAAATGAAGAGAGAGCCAGAGGGAGGGAGGGAGGGAGAGAGAGAGAGAGAGAGAGAGAAAAGAAAGATTAACCAGGGCATGTTAGATTTTTTTCTAGACTAAAGACAATGGTGGGGGAGGGGGTCAAAGCCAGAACAGTGGTTGTGAGGCTGGAGAGAACAGGTGGAAAAGCTTAGTAAATTGATGAAATTCTTTTTGTTAAGAATAATTTCTTTTCTTAAATAATTTATTTGCAATAAATTAATAGTTAAATGGCAAATTCAATGGTTAAAAACTCATAAAACACATCAATAAAAAGATCTTTGGTTAATACATCTAATCACATTCTATAAAGCACAATAAATCAACTTCAATAAAAAAGCATATGAAGATTACTGAACTCCGTTGAAAAGAGGTAAGCATGACAATAAGGCTCTTATCTGTTTTCAATCCTAAAAAACTTAGAGGTTGAACAGGGCTGAAGAAAGTTTGGACACTGGGTCAAGAAATCAGGCACCCATGTCTTGAGTTTCCATTAATTGTCCATGGGACCTCTGGAAAGTCACTTCATAACACTCTGGACTTATTTTCTTCTCTATAAAATGAGGAGTAAAACTAGCCAATCTCATGATTGATATAAATCAAGCACCCTGTTTATATCTGGTTTCTAGTAGTGTCCATAGCAGACCAAACATATTTTCTTTCAAGTAACAGAGTAGCATAGATGATATAATCCACCTACACTTTTCTGTCGGGTTCCGATAATCCAAAAAGATATGTACCATCAGTGAACTAGAATGTGTTTTAATGGAAAATTCTTACCACTGCAATCACCAAGCCTTGAGTATAAGATACCAAGGAAGACCACAGAGTAATGTTTGAATTCGCTTCCAGTCTTAGGGATACCCTGCCAAAGGTTTTGATCCATGTGTTCCTACAGTTCCTTTTGACAGTCACTTTAACCCCACACAACATGATATACCAAAATCAAAGCTTGCAGAATAATTTAAGAGGTGAATTACATCAAGTAATATTTTAAGTGTTTATTCATTTATCAAGGGAATTTCCTGCAGGGTTTCTTTAAATCATTATCCCCCTCATATAGTTTAATGATAACTCAATCTCCTCATGACTTTTCAGGAGCACTCTCTTACACTTCAGTGGAAAGGCACTCTATACTCACAGGCATGGCTCCAACAGCAGAAAACGGTCCGAATTCTGAGAAGAACAGTAAAATCCTGCATTCAGGCAAAGAGGTCCTCTGTGCCCTCCTCAGCTACATGTTAATAGGAAGCTAATATAAAAAAACACTGTCGAAAGTGTTATTTTGATTTAATTCCAGATGAGAGAGTAAGTAATGTTGTTCAATTGACAATTGTCATCAAAGCTTTGAGATATACTATTGGTTGGTAGTTTGGGGACAAATTTAAGTCCACATAACCTCATGAGCAAGAAATGCACATGTGGAGGAAGTCCCTTAGTCTCTGTGCATATGTGTTTCCCCGGACTATTCTGGGTCCATAGGGAAGTGTACAGAACACAGTTTAAAGAAAGGACCTAGGGGCGCCTGGGTGGCTCAGTTGGTTGGGCAACTGCCTTCGGCTCAGGTCATGATCCCAGAGGCCCGGGATCGAGTCCCACATCAGTCTCCCAGCTCCATGGGGAGTCTGCTTCTCCCTCTCACCTTCTCCCCTCTCATGCTCTCTCACCCTTTCTCAAATAAATAAAATCTTAAAAAAAAAAAAAAAAAAAAGAAAGAAAGAAAGAAAGAAAGAAAGAACGAACGAACCTAGAAGGAAAACATATTGCATTGGATAAATGCTTTGGGCTATGAGTGGGAATGCTGTGTAGATGTTAATGGCATTACAACCTTGTTATTTGGGGGGAATGAGATTTTGGGGGAGCCACATCTAGCTTTTTTTCTGATCACCAAACCAAAGAGGCTTACTTCAACCTTCCATAAATCAATACCTTCTTTCTAGAGTCACAGGAAATTTAAATTCCTCTATTATGTATACACTGGAAACCCATAACTGCAAATCCATCAATTTCCTACCTGTGCTTCGGAAGGTTTTGAAACCAATGTACTGTCAAGTATTTTAGGGTAATAACATGTTCCAGAGACAATCAAATGACATTATTTGTATTCTGGGCTCAGCTATGGGATTCATCCTTGAATCCGTCTTTGAATCCAATCATTGGGGCACGTGGTTGTGAGTAGTTCTGCCAGATCCACACTGTTTCGTTGACTAGTGGGTACCACCCCTCCCAGCGTAAGAGTGAGCTAATGCTCCATAGCGAAGGAGACAAATGACAAATTCATTAATTCATTAAAGTCTGGTATTACATTCCTATTGTCTACTCTAGATCTTTTGTTTAAACTAAGCTCTCTGTTAAATGAGTCATTAAATGGTAGTGTTTGGATTTTCATAATTATATTTGAATTTAACAGGTCTTCAATCAGCAGGAACTTGAGCTGAATTAAACGTTTTAATGTCTGACATGTGCAACTAAGGGGTTAGATAACCTATTTTAGCTACCTGTTTTTCATAAGAAAACTATGAACTCTAATTCATAAATTATCAAGTCCTTTCCTCTAACAGATATAATCCACCGTTCAGCTTTAGAGATAACAAAGATATAAATGGTTCAATGCAGGTAATACTTCATATTTCCACAGGGATAAAGGATGCAGAGCTCTTCCACATGTATCTGCTATGTTCCTGTAATCCTCACGTGTGAGAAGGGTCTCTCTCACGTTTCCACAAGTCTCCAGGTTGGTTTCTGTGAGGGCTCTCTTCACATTTATCAACCTTATTTTGTTCACCCTCGATCACATATACCTCATTTTTCAAAACAAACTGTAAAATGTGTTCTGAGGGAAGCATTTTCTACTCATCCATTTGAGATCTGTTATGGGAAAACTCCTTCCTTATAATTGAAAACATACTGAGTAAAACAGTGATTTCCAAGCCTGTTTTTAACCTACACTTCCCCCCTCCCAAACAACATCTTATGCAGATCCTGGATACATAAAATAGAGGCAGGCTGCTCTGTCTGGAGCTCCGGGGGTAGCAGACTCCAAAGCCATCTTCCTCATGGCCTCTGTCTGGCTCCCTGCAGCTGTCCCTGAGCCACCTCCTGTGAAGCATAAGTGCATTCCTCACAAATTATTCATCAAGTTGACACTGGAACATGCAAAAGGCTGTCAACAGCCAGTGGCTTCAGAGCAAGGGCTGCCCTGGGTGATGACAGCCGGAGCCCCACTATGCAATGCTGTGGCTTGGGTCAAGTGAAGGGACCTGGTAGTCATCGAGTAGAGTCCTGTCCGGCAGGTGGGATCCTTGGGGGAAGAGTCCCAGAATGTTTCCCTGAGCAGCCACTCCTGTTTGCTGCAGGGTTTGCTCCCCCAAGACCTTGACCAAGAAGTTGATGTACCTCATTGCCAGGCGAAGCGTTTCATTTTTGCTCAGCTTTTTGTCTGGAGGGTGAGTGGGGATGAGCTTCCTCAGCTTGGCAAAGGCGCTGTTGACGTTCTGCTGCCTCCACCGCTCCCTGGTGTTTGTGAAGATCTTCCTGGTCATGTTTGAACTCCTGAGACAGGAAAGAGAAAGGGACCTGAGGGCCAGTACTGTGTAAGCGATGGTGGGTGTCGCACGTCCTGCCAAGGATTTGAGATGTTAGATCTTTTTGACCCAGGTCAAAATTTAGGAAACTCCACTTCCTCATTTTTAGTTTTGGGGGTTTTTGTTTGTTTGCTTGCTTGCTTTTTCTTTTCTTTTTTCTTTCTTTCTTTTTTTAAAATATTTATTTATTTATTTATTTATTGGTTCTTCCTTTTAATAAGAGAAGAAAATGTGGCAGAAAAAAGGACAGGGTAAGAACAATACCCTTCAGCCTTTTTCTCCCTAGCTGTTTTGAAGCCTCCTGTTGCAAGGTGGTTTTATCCCAGTATCCCCACTATTTCTTTTATCACCAACTCCTCCAAATTATTCAGAACCAGGCATAGTATAGGATTTAGTGCTTGCGCAGATAAAATATACATTTAGCCAATAGAGCGTTAACTATGGATTCTCAAAAATAAATAAATAAATAAAAGCTGCAGTCCTAGGTTTCCCTAATAAGATAATTTGGGGAATGAAGATAATAGTGCCGCTCCCCTCTTAGCGGACAGACCTCACCTGGAGAGTTGGGCCTCACTGCACAAGACCTAAAATATCCAGCCTGGACCACATTTAGAAGAGGATGAACAGAGTGATGAAGTGTCTTGAACCCCTGTTGTATGAAAGACAGAAGTGGGGCTATTTGGCATGACCAGAAGAAAAGACAAGAGACAGGTAGGTGCTATGGAAAATATTCAGGCCTCACAAGCCTGTGCTTGGGTGACCTTTCCAACTCGGGGATAATCCAACTGATTATCACCATCTATTGCTAAATTTTCCTTTGTCATTTTTAATCCATAGAGGCACAGGCCCCTTTTGCCAGGCAGCCTGGATTAACATGCGTTAATGGGAATGCAGATGATGCATGAGCAAACAAAGCCCTCTGAGATCTCGGCGTGCAGTGGGTGCTCTACTCTGAAAATAGGAACCCGTCATCCATATTGAAACTCTGGATGATAAGGAAGCAGTACCCTCACCAGACCCCTGCAGTCCTGGAGGCAGGTCCAGCAGGAGCTCAGCACAAGGAAATGCTACCATCTCCAGTCAGAGGGCGTGTGTTCTGGTCACAGCAGCAAACTTCAACCAGCTGTGAGGCACTGCTTATGTCACTTCACCAACCCGAGCCTCAGTTCCTCAGCTATACAATGGGCATTAATTATACCATCCTTTCCTTACAGTTTGATGTGAAAGCATTCTGTGAACCATAAGCTGAGGAACATAACTTTGCTTTGTGCCAGGCATCGTTTCTCACACATTAACTCACACTGCATACATATGCAAGCAGTGTTGGTTGTAGAGACAGTATTGGAGGCACTGCTGGGATTGGCCAAGGGCCACTGACATGGTCCAGAAGTCATTTCACTACACTGTGTGCTGGCATCTCTGCCCTTCGGTAGGAACCAAATGACATCTCAGTTAATTAGAACAAGCCACTCTGTTACCCTCAAGCCCTGACTCTACAGGGATCAGTCGCCAATGGAAGCACCTGCGTGGTGGGTAAGGACAGAGGCTTTGGGGCCAGAACTTGGTTTGGATTTTTGGTTCTGCTCCTTAGATGAGCAATCTACTTAAACTCTCTGTGTATCAAATGCCTCATAAGTAAAAGGGGACTCAGGGTGCTACCTGTAAGGACACATAAAATGATCCACATAAACCACTTTAGTGAAGGGTCTGGCACACAGCCAGTGGTCAATAAATATTAGTCACAATTATTATCTCTATCAATAAAACAGGGAAAAGTAAATGTTCATTGCAACTTAGCATTTTTCTTTCCTAATGAAGAAGCTACAGTGCAGTAGGAAAGGTCTGAGCTTGATTTATGGATTTGTTTGTTCTGCTCTGTCTACGGATGTGTGTTGGGGTGTGTGTGTGTGTGTGTGTGTGTGTGTGTGTGTGCAGAGCAAAATACCTCGAAGGATTCAGGCTAAACTGTTGACCGTGGTTCCCTGGGGGAGGACCGTGGGTTGGGGGAAGATAGAAAAGGAGATGGGTGTGTTTTATCTGACATAGATGGGTAATATTTTACATTTTTATAACTAAAAAGGATTCATATATTATTTGCTTCATAATAGACAAAAGCTAAAAAAGTTTATGGGCTTTAATGTAGAAAGACCCGGCTGTGAATCTCAGCTCCCAATTTCTTAGTTATACGATTCTGAGAAAATCACTTAACTTCTTTAAGCCTCAATTTCTTCTCTGGAAAATGGAAATAAAGCCATTTCCAAGGTTCTTGTGAGGATTTATAATACATTCTGTAAAGCATATAAATACATAAATGAGGCAATACGTGCCTGCTACATAGGTGCTTAATAAATACAAGGCTTCTCTTCCCTATGCAGATGGGAAGGGTCGTTACTCCAAAGAATAGCATTTTAGAGTCATCCGTATGGCCCCAGGACACTTCCCCATCCCTGTACTTGTTGCCTTTCCTGCTTCTGTCTGTATTGGAGACAGAGGGCTGTGTTGAGAACCCAGTGATAAGGGAAAGGGATAGCAGCCCAAGCTCACTGGCTGATTTCAGGCTCCTTCCACCAGCCATTTGGGTCTCTGTGGAGAAACGTTTAGTAGGACCCATGATCCAATTACAATCATACGTACTCTGAGCTTACGTATCAACATTTACTGACCAAATGTGGCGGACATGGTGCTGCCTGCTGGATCCTGAGGAAATCAGTGCCTTGTGAATGGAGAGAGCAGCACCTAATCCAGGTATTCTAGGGGCCTTCCAGGCATACCATGTTTGAAGGGGGTGGACCAGGTGATCCGGGGGGCCTCTTTCTGCTCTAAAAGGCCACAGTGCCCTGCCTATTGCCTTTGATCTCACTTAGTCATGTCTAAATAGCCTCGTCTTTTATCTACGATGAAAAATATGAGTGTCGTCAGAACTGTAACCAAGTAAAATTAACATATGACAGTTCGAACCTAAATCAAGGGATTTTAAGATAGAAAACTACCCAGTTTAGCTTACACTGAGGCTGGCTGCCTTGCAGCCGGGACTGTGGGAGCAAAGTTATTTTCAAGCTTCTCTTGTCAAAAGAGGGTTTAGCTCACTCACTAAGTCAACTCTGGTCCCTTGTGGTCGGGGTGGGGGGGGCATCTTTTTCAAGCTGGAAGAAAAAGATTAAGCAGGATAAACTAACTGGTGTTCTCTTCTAAGAGGGCTCGATTCTATTGTGCTAGAAGCAGACAGAGGAAATAAGGAGAGGAAAAGATGGGCTTCAGAAATGTAGCCTGCCATCCTAGAAGGAGCTTAATAATGCCTTGTTGATTTATCCTCAAGGGTGTTACTCTCCTCCACAGGGGGAAATAGAAATCAGTTCTTTAACAAGCTGGGAGAATTCAAAGCAGTGGTCACTGGGAAATTACTAACGTACTCATTAAATCAAAGGAAAATTGCACTTAGTGCTTTTCCAGTTGTAAGGACTGATTACTGCTTAGCTTGATTTCAGAATAATTTAAGAGCTTAAAAAAATGCACCAGGGCGCCTGGGTGGCTCAGTGGGTTGGGCCGCTGCCTTCGGCTCGGGTCATGATCTCGGGGTCCTGGGATCGAGTACCGCATCGGGCTCTCTGCTCAGCGGGGAGCCTGCTTCCCTCTCTCTCTCTGCCTGCCTCTCTGTCTACTTGTGATCTCTCTGTGTCAAATAAATAAATAAAATCTTTAAAAAAAAAATGCACCAGATACGACAGAATCAGAAAACATCTGATAGATGTCAAAACAGAGGTAAAACATGTTGTCCCAGGTCACATGGGGAGTCAGTGGCACAGCCTGTGTCCCATGCCTCTGTATTGATGCATCTTTGTCACCACTGACTTCTGCTAGGTCAAAATACATAAACTTTTTGCACCATGGTTTCTTCTGGGAGTCTGGGGAAGCCTAAAGGAGGACTCAATCCCAGAACAATGATTCAAAATATATAAAGTAATAAGCCTTTGGTTCCCTCCTCAGAATAATTATTTTAAATGCATGAACTGAAATACATAACACAGAAAATCGCCAAATAATTATTAAAATAATTTTTAAATGCAAAACAGTAATAATATGCTTTGTTTTTAACATATAAAGTATTTATTACTATAATTTCTACACAGTGATATGTAATCAAAAGATATGCAATGTGGATGAAGGTATTTAAGATTTTTATTGGTGACCTCATCACCAGTACTACTTTTTATTACCCACATTAGTAAATAAATTAAATGCTAAATTTAGATCAAAGGTTACTGGAAATGAAGATGTAATTTTTTCCCATCCAAGTATATAGAACCCCTGATTTTTAGTTCCATGCCTCTGGTTGGGTAGGTGTCACGGACCTGGGGTTAGGAATGCCTAGGCAGGAGGAATGTAATGGTAAATATAATAGGAATATAGGAATATAGGTGTGCACAAACTTCTCTCTATTATATTGTCACCACTGAAGTTAACAAGTTACCAGAGAGAAGAATGACAAGTTACGCACCTACAGAAATTGACCAATGCCCCCAAAAGGGATTGCTGCTTTTTTGTGACAGTGGTTTCTGGACACAGAGCCTGGGGCACCAAGAACATTCCTGCAGTAGCCTGTCCCAGGCATTCGGACTCACATGGCTCTTTGTTCATAAGACTTAAAATTTCTCCTCCTGTCATTTGGTCATGTGCATTTGTCTCTTCTTTTGTCTTTTTCTTGAAAATAAGTGAAAACAGACTCCAGAAAGAAAGAGATGGAAGGTGGCCTATAGAGTTGGGTTAGGGAGAGGTACATAAACTCCAACACTGGGAATAGTTTTGCCTTTGGAAATCATTATAGAAGTAACACATGCTCATCCAAGAAACAGACAAACAAGCAGTACACAAGTGCATAAAGTTACAATATAGAAGTGTCTCTATCTATTCAATCCTACTCCCCAGCAGTAGCCAGCTTGGTATGCGTAAATACAATATAGATCCTTTATATAGAATACATATGTCCTTTAAAAATCGGAACACATACACATAATAGTATGTGTTCAACTCTGCACGTTGATGCTCTAAATAAATACATTTACCGTGAGTAACATTCTTTGGGAGGGCACCCCGCTCTCTGGGAGAGCTGCCTCTTCCACCTGCGCCTCGCTGCCTGACGCACCTGAATTCTCCGCCCACCCCGCCCAAACTGTAGCCCCAGTCCACTTCACTTCCTTACTTCTGCCTTTTCCTTTTTATAACCTTCACTCCCCCTAGCCTGAAGTCTGCATCCAGGAAAGCAGCTGGCGCTCAAGTTTCCCACCTGCCAGGTGCGGGGGAGTAGCTCACCCAGACGCAGAAACTACCCTAACGGCCCTCGGGGGTGCTGCGGGGTGCGTTCAGCATCGCATACCAAGGTGAAGCAGCCAGGCCGACACGCACAAGGGCAACGCTTTGCTCCCCCAGAGTCGCACCACCACCCCTACTCAGAAACCCCCGGGTCTTCTCACTGAGTCGACTTGGTAGCTGCTACCAAGTCGCCTCCACACCTCTGTCCTCCTGGGCGAGTGAGGCTCGGATTCCGGGGCTGCGCGGGAGACCGGCTGGCCCACGAACCCGGACCGGGTAGCGCCCACTCCCCGCCCCCCACCCCGGGGTCGACGAACCTCCTTGCCTGGAGCCGGGAGACCGCACCGTCGTTGTCGCCGTGGCTGGGTGGCTGGCCGTGTGCGCCCTCGCCTGGACGCCGCGCCGCCACAGCTGCCTTTATAGGACGCGGTCCTTTGTCTCCGGGACTCACGGGGCCCCTTCCCGCACGGGATTCCCGCCCTTCCCTCCCCACTCCCTGTCGCCCCGCTTCCCAGGCCCACAACCCAGACCCACTAGATCAGCGGTTGTGGGGGTGGGATCCGAAATCTGCGTTTTCACTAAGCATTCCAAGAGATGAAGATGCACAGCGACGTACAGCGGTCACTGCACTGGGCAGACACCCGGGTTTATGCATCTCCAGGTCCACAGTGCTCAGCACACATCTTGGTTATTTCAGTGCCCTTCTACACGGCTTTCTTCTATGCTCTCTCTCTCTCTCTCTCTCTGCTATCCAGCAT